CAACCCAACGCGTAAGAGGGGTTGTCAATCCCTCCTCGGTAATGAGATAGATTAAATTGTATGAGATTTGATAAATAGATCTTACAAAAACAAAAAATAAAGTAAATAAAGAAAAAGTGCAGCAAGGTATATTTGGTTTTAATATGACAGAAAAGAGACCCGGGGGCCGTAAATTTCACTAGAGGCTTCTCTCGAGAAAATAGCATACGGTGGGTAAACAAATTACTGTTAGGCAATTGACAGAAAAGCGAATAATTATGACGATATCCAAGCCAATGATCATGTATATAGGCATTAGGTCCAAGATTAGTAGACCGACTCCTGTCGGCATCTACTACTATTACTCCACACATCGACCGCTATCCAGCATGCATCAAGTGTATTAAGTTCATGGAAAAACGGAGTAATGCAATAAGAACGATGACATGATGTAGACAAGATCTATTCATGTAGGAATAGACCCCACCTTTTTATCCTTCATGGCAACGATACATGCATGTCATGTATCCTTCTGTCACTGAGGTTGAGCACCGCAAGATCGAACCGATCACAAAGCACCTCTTCCCATTTCAAGAAAAAACAATCTAGTTGGCCAAACCAAACCAAAGTTTCGGGGAAGAAATATGAGGCTATAACAATCATGCATAAAAGAGTTCAGCAAAGACCCAAATAATATTCATGGATATATCTGATCATAAACTCACAATTCATCGGATCCCAACAAACACACCGCAAAAAGTCACTACATCAAAAAGATCTCCAAGAACATCGAGGATAACATTGTATTGAAGATCAAAAAGAGAGAAGAAGCCATCTAGCTACTACCTACGGACCCATAGGTCTGTGGTAAACTATTCATGCATCATCGGAGGGGCAAGGGTGATGATGAAGAATCCCTCCGTGATTGTTGACCCCTCCGGCAGAATGCCGGAAAAGGCCTCTAGAGTGGATCTCGTGGTTCTGGAACTTGTGGCGGCTGGAATTGTGTTTCGTCAACTCCCTAGGGTTTTTGAGATTTTAGAGTATTTATAGAGGCAGAGGTCGGCGGAGGGGGTGCATGTGGGCCCCACTACCCACCAGGGCGCGCCATGGTTCCTAGTGGGCCCCACAAGGCCCCTCTAGAGAAAAAATTATCCAAAAACTTTCGTGCATTTGGACTTCATTTGGTATTGATTTTTCTGCGAAGTAAAAAACAGGCAAAAAAATAGCAACTGGCACTATGTCAATAGGTTAGTCCCCAAAAAATTATAAAGTTGCTAGTCAATGAATATAAAACATCCAAGATTGATAATATAATAGCATGGAACAATCAAAAATTATAGATACGTTGGAGACGTATCACTCACCTCCTATGCATCAGGCCAAAATAGCCCCAGATCTTGTCGGTTGCCAGCCTGCGGCTAGCGATGGCGTTGCTGCACCCCCTCCTGGTCGATTGGCACACCGGGTGGAGCTATACACTGGTGAGGGCATTGTAGCACGCGATGGCGGTGCGAAGCGGTTTAGGTTGATATGAGGATGAGAGGAGCGGGAAGAAGGGAACACCCCACCGCCACTATGCGACACACAGAGCTTTGTCAGGCGCGGTGATGGCTCTATATTTTACACATTTTTAGAGCTCATTTATTGCATGTTCTCTTCATATATTATGTCTTATTGAACCAAATAGTTGTTCATTATGCATGTTTACCGGTATTTACACTTTTCCTTGTGAGCATTGCGCATTTAATATTTTATTTGGTTTTTATTAGTTCTCTTTGTTTTCTTGTGTCTACAAGTGTATTTTAGCAATCTAGGACCAAACACGATGAAAGAATCAAGGATGGGTTCAATAGGAGTCACCCGGGGGGCACACTAAGCCATTTTGAAGGTCGGAAAAAGGCATTTTCCAAAGTCCTCCAAATCAATATCTAATACTAGAAATGGATGTGTATCATTCATACGAATCCAATGAGTCCAAGATCATCAAATTCCGAGTTCGTATGAAGAAATGGCAGCCGTTTTACCGGAGAAGGTGAGAACAAAAGACGACGTTTCATGCGACCGCGGCCGGTCGTTTCACCAGTCATATGACGTGCACACAGTTCCGAAAGTTGCTCTTCCAGACGGGATTTTGCATCGATTTGCCCCAATTGTTCCCATGGGATCCTTGGATCATAATGATGGGATTGCGAGAAGATAAGGCTCATCTTGAGCCCTTGGATGACCACATCAACGGAGGAGACACCGAGAGGCCTTCATATAAGCACCTCCAACCTTAGGCGCCTCCACTCACCTCCTTATTCATTCATCCATGCAGCCATCATCCATATCCATTGTTCCTCCAAGACCACCTCCATATAGAAGAGAAGGGCCAAGCCATGAGGAAGAAGAAGGGGTGCCTCCACCACGGGCATCGGCCTTTGGGCTGGTGCGGTCTTCACCGCCAGCGCCGCCATGCCCCTCTCCTCAACTGGCTTCACGTCGGCTTGTAACTTTCCATCTCCCTCTCCTATGTTTGAGTAGTTGTACTAGTTCTTGAGGAATTGGATGAATCCTTGCATGATTAGTACTTTGTTGAATAAGCGATCCAATCATTTTCTTTATATGTATTGCGTTGATTGTGTCATGGTGTTGTGAAGAAAGCTCGTGCAACATTAGCCACTTGTGGACTCAAGGCAAGTCATGTTGGTGAACAAGCTGGTTGTGGAGGGTAGGTGGTGACAGTCATATTCTCCCTTCGTCCTGTCATTGCAATAGAGATTAGTGGAGAACACTATAACTTAAGGTCGTGACAACGGGGAGCTCACTCCCATTAATCATCATTGTGATAACCGGAGTGGGGAAGCACGATGGTGGCACGAGTGTACGCAATAACCTGAGTGGGGATGTGTACTTTATTGGCTCCGCTGATACGTCCATTTTGCATCACATTTTCATGTTGATATTTATCGCATTATGGACTGTTATTTCACCTTATAATACAATTCTTATGCCTTTTCTCTCTTATTTTGCAAGTTTCACATGAAGAGGGAGATTGCCGGCAGCTGGAATTTTGGATTAGAAAGGGCTACATCGGAGGCACTTTTTCTGAACAACTTCAAATGAGCTGAAAATTGACGGAGAATTATTCTGGAATATACTAAAATTACTGGCGAAAGAAATACCAGAGGGGGACCCACCAGGCAGCGACAAGCCTGGGGGCACACTCTACCCCCCAGGGCGCGCCTCCTGAGCTTGTGGTGGTGCCCCTAGCAGGCCTCCGGGGCCCATCTTCTCCTATGTGGTGCCATTTGACCTAGAAAAGATCAGAAGAAGGGTTTCGGGAAGAAGCGCAGCCATCTCGAGGTGGAACCTGGGCAGGAGCACTTTTGCTCTTCGGCGGAGCAATTCCGGCGGGGAAACTTCCCTCTGGGAGGGGGAAATCGAAGGCATCGTCATCACCAACAATCCTCTCATCATGGGAGGACCAATCTTCATCAATATCTTCACCAGCATCATCTCATCTCAAACCCTAGTTCATCTCTTGTATTCAATCTTTGTCTCAAAACCTCAGATTGGTACCTGGGGTTGCTAGTAGTGTTTATTACATCTTGTAGTTGATGCTAGTTGGTTTATTTGGTGGAAGATTATATGTTAAGATCCTTGATGCTATTCAATACCCTCTGATCTTGAGCATGAATATGATTTGTGAGTAGTTACTTTTATTGTTGAGGACATGGGAGAAGTCTTGACATAAGTAATCATGTGAATTTCGTATTTGTTCGATATTTTGATGATATGTATGTTGTTGCTTCCTTTAGTGGTGTCATGTGAATGTCGACTACATGACACTTCACCATATTTGGGCCTAAGGGAAGGCATTTTGGATTAGTTATTAGATGATGGGTTGCTAGAGTGACAGAAGCTTAAATCCTAGTTTATGCGCTATTTCGTAAGGGGCTGATTTGGATCATATGTTTAATGCTGTGGTTATATTTATCTTAATTCTTATTTCGTAGTTGCGGATGCTTGCAAGAGGGGGTAATCATAAGTGGGAGGCTTGTTCAAGTAAGAACATCACCCAAGCACTGGTCCACCCACATGTCAAATTATCAAAATAACGAACGTGAATCAAATAAACATGATGGAAGTGACTAGATAAAATTCCCGTGTGTCCTTAAGAACGCTTTGCTTATTATAAGAGACCGTTCCGGACTGTCCTTTGCTACAAAAAGTATTGGGATACCTTTCTTCACCTTTGTTACCGTTACTACTTATTTCTCGTTACAAATTATTTTGCTATCAAACTATCTGTTACCGAACATTTCAGTGCTTGCAGACAATACCTTGCTGAAAACCGCTTGTCATTTCCTTCTACTCCTCGTTGGGTTTGGCACTCTTACTTATCAAAAGGACTAGGATTGATCCCCTATACTTGTGGCTCATCATCCGCCTACGCGATATCATACAAGTGGCTTAGTGAACAATTAAAGAGCCATGTCTATCATGTGTTGTCAGCATCATACTTGTGGTGATGACTCCAATTCCCTCGAGAACGTTTACTACTTATCGAAAGGACTGCGATTGATCCCTTATACTTGTGGGTCATTATCCGCCCACGCGATATCATACAAGTGGCTTAGTGATACAATCAAAGAGCTATCTCTCTCCATTATCTACCACATAAAAAAATGTATTCAACCATTTGTATAAACAATGTTCCTGGCATTAAAATTTTAAAAAAAACAATGGATAAGAAAGGAAGGCATTGCTAAGCAAATAAATTTCAGTTTAATGGCACATGCTTCATGGCACAACGGGCCGTATAGTCGAAATAAAACCTCCACTGGATCAGGTCACTCCCACACACTGATCGACTAGTTGTATCTCAAAAGGTGTGACCTACTAAAAAAGGCATATTCGCAAGATGCCAGTTTTTCAGTATCATCTCTCTCTCTCTCTCTATCTATCTCTCTCTCAGCGTGTGCATCTCTAACTCTACCAAGCATCCGCCCACATTCGCCCCTCCTAGTGACCCTATGGCGCAGCTCCTCCATGAGAAACGGTGAGTGCTCCTGATTTTTCCTAGCTTCTCCCTGAGATCCAACTTCCCCAATTTCAGTTTTATTTATTGATGATTCACTTCTTCTCTTTAATTTTAGGAACCCTAGATCCAAATTGGCTGAGGGGATTTCTGGCTCAATTATGAGCCGCCTCGCTTCCTCACCGGTGCTACCGCTCGATGATGAGGACCTTCTCCAAGAGATCCTCATCCGCCTCTCTCCACAACCATCCTCCCTCCCGCGCGCCTCCCTTGTCTGCCCGTGCTGGCGCAGCATCCTCTCCAACCACAAGTTCCTCTGTCGCTTTCGCAAGCATCACAGGAAACCACCTCTGCTTGGCTTCTTCGCAAGGTGTTTAATCACTAAAACGACCGTCTTCACTTCCGTCCTTGACTCGCCTGACCGCATCCCTGCTGGTCACTTTCTCGTGCCGCACAGCCACAACCCATCCAAGCGGTTGCGCTTCATGGGATGCCGCCATGGCCTCGCCGTCCTATTTGAAATGTCACTACATTCCCCCATGCCAACAGGTTTGATTGTGTGGGATCCACTCACTGGTCAACAACACAACCATTTGACAATGCCACCAGGGCTCAATGGAGACAAATGGAAGTGTTGGAATACCACTGTGTTGTGCACTAGTGTCGAAGATGGGCATGTGCACGGTGATTGCTTCTCGAACCCATTCAAATTTGTCTTGATCTTCAACAGAGACACAGATGCTTCAGCATGCGTCTATGAATCAACATCTGGTGTATGGGGAGATATTGTCTCTGTGGTGACCAAGAAAGTAATTTCTCCCCTGAGACCCAGCATCCTGATTGGAAATGTACTTTACTGGTTGCTTGTTGGAGGTGAAGTCCTTGTGCATGATTTTGAAAGGCAGAGTCTTGGTATGATTGAGAAGCCAGCAGACACACATAATGGACATGCCGAGTTTTCTTATCATCTCTTACGGACAGAGGATAATGGACTTGGTCTCGCCATTGTGTCTAATTTTACAATCAAATTATGGGAGAGGAAATCCAACCGTGATGGTGTTGTTGGCTGGGAGTTTTTGAAGAAAGTTGCTCCATTGGATGGGTTGTTTCCGGAGCCGATGCTTAGTGGTCACATGTGGATATTTTTGGTGGGGTATGATGAGGACACAAATGTGATTGTTTTGTCTACGATGACTAGCACGTTCATGCTCCAACTTGATTCTATGCAAATCAGAGATATTTCTGTAAGAACTAATCTACGTCACCCAGTCATTTATCCCTATAGAAATTTCTATACTGCAGGTAATACCTCACTGTCTACATTGCACAAACTACAGTAATCCAAATAATTCTTATTTTTTGACATTCATTCTAGTTACTTTTAGTTCGTGTTCCTTGGTCAAGTATGGACTAGATATATAAGAATACATTTCTTGTCCGTTTCTTAGTCTGTGTGGTAATCTTATGGTGATGTAATTTCTTATACTGGGCAACACTTGGACTAGAAAAGGGGAAGAACCATAACTATTGGTGTCTCTCAGTTGATCTTTTTGCATGGGTTTTCTAGCTGTTGGAAACTGGTAACGACCACACTAAGAGAATATTGTGAAACCATCTTATTTCTGAAATAGTATTACGATAGGTGCATTTGGAAGTTTACATTCAACATTTTTCTTCACAGATATATCTTGATAGTAATAATCAATTCAAATGTCATGTAGTCGGTTTATAAAAAATGATGTCATTTTCTTAATATGTGTATTATGTTTTGACCCATTGGATATTTCTTGTACATGCTCTCACAAGAATAATTCTGGATTACTATATTTTTTCTGAACATGTAAATAGTCTTTACATCTCTTGGAAAAGTATTATTGTTGTTGTTTCTTGATATTAATCCCCTCTCACTTAGAGCAATCCATATTGGTGAATTTGAATAGGTGAGGAGAAGGGTACCCAGCCGAGGACTACTACAACTACACATATGGTGAATTGCGGAATATGACAATGATATATGTGACCTAGAAGGCACATGTGGGGGCTGGAATTAATGAACATCATATAATCTAAAGCTATGTATTTCCTGAATGCTTGTATGACCATCTATCTAGTATGGCTAGCTGGAGCTCAAGTGCTAAGAGATGTAATAATCGATAAAGTTGTGAATCCTACTTAAGACTTCTAGCCCAATGTGGCATGTTATTCTAATTTTAATACCCATCTAGCTATTCCATGTTGCAATATCAAAACGTGGCTTATCATCTGACAAAGATGATATTCTCAAGCCATAATCCAAGGGTCACTGTCATTTGTTTTTTAAAGTACGCCAAAGGCGTACAATATTTTTATAGAAGGAATGGGATAATGTACAAAAAAATTGCGAGCTAGGCGAACATCAACACAAGCGAAACCACTCAACCACTCAACACCTACAACTCCAGTCATTGTCATTATATAAGGTAATAATGGTTACGATGTCACAATTCTGCTACGGACACTCGTCCGTGTATACATCTATATAAATCATACCATAGAGCATGAATTCGACACTTTTTTGCTTCGGGAACTGAGGAGGCGAGATGAGTAAGTAGAGAAGAGATGCCTCGAGTCATATTTTGATAAATGCTCTCGACACTAAAATTTCCATTTTAGATATCCATCTCCACCACTTGTTGTCCTCGTATTTTCATGACCCAAGAAATATTTATTGCAAACCATATATACTTTTTAAGTCATGACATATTTAGACTTTGATTGTTGCTTCAATATTTGAAAGTTTGCTATTATTGTGTTTTGCTTGAAAGGTAGTGAGATATTTTAATGTTTGCTACTCCCTAGCAAAATACGAGGACAAAATCATATCTAAAGGGGCAAAATGAATGAATCTCCCGCACTCGTTGAAGCAAAGGAACCGTAATCGTTGCTTGGGAGAGGATAGATAGACCACATAATTCAAATTGGGCGCTGGTCAAAATCATATTCACACCTGATCCCATACCTGCAATCGTATCAGATTCACAAATCGCATCGAATATGAACTCTCGTTCTGATCAGATTCAGAGATCTCTCTCCCATTATCTAAGAACATATACAACATGTTAAACCATGTTGAATCAAGTACATGAATGGAGATCAGTTTTCAAGGGAAACTGCATGATTTACAACACAAGTGTTCAAAATTCCTCACCGCCATTTGGCTAACAATATAATAATAGCCTCTACACCCCCCTTTTATATAGGACGCAGTAGACAATCACACACTACGATAGCCTTCCTCTTCCAAAATTAAGATAGGGACGACTACTCATGCTATCCGTCATCAGAAGATGTGAATGGAATGTCAAATGTTAATTTGGTCAAGTACTAATGATTACTCTACTTGGAAAGAAAAAAGAACCTTCCAACAAGTTCTACCGGATGATAGCTGCCATCATTTTCAGAGGATAGCGTTGGGTGGCTCAAAACATTTCTCAGAACTTTGTTTCAACAGGATTTCCGGTAATCCATGCGCTGACCTGCTCTGACATTCTCCAACATTTTCCTGCAAAAGCTAATACACAATACAAAAATTAGTGACCGAACACCATGGTCCCAAAAGACAACGAGAAAAAAAGGCAAACCTTGCTACAGTTGCTATCCATGCTCTCTCATGCCTGTATTTCAACCATCTTCGCACGTTTCCTCTTGGTAGGTTTCGCGGTGTCACTGGTAACTTCGGTGGCCACAAGTTTTTTAGCAGGTAGTTGGCCGATAAAGAGAACATTCTGCGCCCAACCAGCATACTCGCCAAATTTGGCTACAAATGCATCGGCGACAACAATGCTCAGTTTTGGAGTCAGGCTCTTGCCAGCTAGCTCAGGCAACATATATCGTGTAGCAACCTGTGTAAAATCCACATGGTTAGGGCTTGAAGACTCAAACAAAATAGGCTTTCAGATCATATAGAACATATCCAGAGAATCTTTCTTGACACTGCATCCTTAAGGTTCAAATGTATTTTTTGATACCACACAAGCTGTTGTCATTTCTGAACAGAACGTCCATTTTGTATAACTTTCAGTGGCGATTGGTTACTTCACCCATTTCAAAGGATGAAAATTTTATTTCCCGACAATATAACAATTTGGTATTGGTACATCCATCACCCATGAAATTTAAGCATGATTAGCTTAGGAAATGTATAACATGTTAACATGGTCCAAACTCTTACAATTCATGTAGGCGAAGCATTCAACTTGTTGCTAACCAACAGAAAAGGACTATCATAACTAAAACCAGCCCATCAAAAGCACCTAATTTTGTGAGAATGGACAAAGAGTGTGGAAAGGCACATCAGATTAAGCCATTTTTACAGCAAGAGTACAATGGTTAACCAGACATAGCATACCTTCCAGACATGTGTGTCAACAGGAATAGCCTGATTCTTATCAAGAGAGAACAGAGCAATGCAGGCTGCAACTTTTGGACCAACACCTGGCAGGGTACAAAGACCCTCAATTACCTCCGGAAGTTCCCTGTCACGCAGCAAGGCAAGCCATTTTGCACCTCCACCAGGCTTGGCCATCAATTTTTTAGCTGTGCCAACAACATACTTTGCCCTGCGTAGGAACAGAAAATTTTCTCAAATCAGTTTAGTACAAGTATCTAGTAATGCTGCATAAACAACAGATACTCATAAATGAGATATGATTCGGACAATCTATCTACAATCAGTAATTGTATGCGTGAGGTTGTTTTCCCACAGTTGAAATTTATGTACACAATTAGACAAATGTGATACTGAGATTCTTCTGTACATTCATACATGTAAGACAGTAGGAAGTAGGATATCAATACCATCACCACCATCATCACTAAACAAGAATACAACTCCTCATCGCTTGAATTACTGAATAATCAGCCCCCTGATATGAGCATCCTTAGCACAGGATTTTCATTTCTCAACAAACACGACAGGTGAACATATCTGGATGCTAAACAGAGTACATTAAGGACTACCTATAAGGCTATAACTGAATTAACAGCAAGTAGATGGAACCATGTGCCCCACAACACAAGCTGGAGTAGCAATTAGTTCATCTCAAGACAATGAGGCTACAACAAAACCAGACTAGCCGTGCTGAATTCAACACAAAGGACTGCCAATGCTAAGAGCGTAGCATAAATTGTATATAACTAAGAAGATAGATACACACGAGGCAGGAACTGACGGACCTGTACCCAAACCCAGCCTCCCGAAGCTCCTGCTCGGACACCTGCGCGAGCCGCTCGACAGTGGGGAACCGGTGGAAGACGAAGCCGCCGACCTCTCCGAGCCGCTCCCCGTATCCGGCCAGCGTCCAGACCATCTTCTCGATCCGCGCGATGTTGTTGTTGGAGGAGCAGAGGAACTGGAACAGGCACTCGACCGGGTCCTGCCTGAGCACCCGGGCGCCGCCGCCGCCGAGCCGCGCCGCGACCTCCGCGAAGCGCGCATCGGCGGCGGTGAACTGGACCCAGAGGTCGGCGAGGGGGACGGCGGAGTTCAGGTAGTCGCACAGCGCGGCCCGGGCGGCGGCGACGGAGGAGGAGGGGGAGGCGGGGTCGTCGTTGTGGAGGAGGAAGGCGAGGCGG